ACCTACCTCTTTGTGAACCGGCCGGACATATAACTGGTATCCAGTCTCTGGAGAAGGGCCTGTTGACTGGCGGTAGAGCCGACACAGGACCGAAAAATTTGGATGGTTGTTAGCGTGGCAGGTCGAAATGCAGCGCGGGCGTTTATCTGTTATCGGCATTTCTGTCTCATTGTTTGGTGTTGATCATTAAACTCTCGCTTAACGCTGCGCTTCATTCGCGAGCGACGGCGGGATCCCGAGGGGTCTGAAACAAGCAAACAGCACCCGATGCGCTGGCTTGCTGGAAAAACTCAAAAGAGATAGAACTCTGTGTTCACATCTGCCGCTGGTATTCTGAACCGGAGTCCACTCCCACTCCTTCGCTCTCGAGGCCAGGATGCTGCGCCCGAGGAGCGAGGGTGGGCGAGACATGAAAGACACAGTGGCAGAAGAGAGCACGCCCACGCGTAAGTGTTTCGCCTGGCTCCTTCTCGACTGCCCGGGGATTCATGAGAGAGGCTGGAAAGGCTTGCGATGCTACGGGCCCGGGCGTTGTGAAGCCGCATATCAGCGCTGATGGATGGCAAATGGAGGCAAAACGCAATCGATCAAACTTCCCTGTTGGGCTTGGTGTGATCGCTGCATGGCTCAATAGGCCTGGGGATTGGGCTGAGCTTGCTGAGAAGCGTGGCTAGTAGCGTGATGTAAAATAGACAGATTCGGAGCAATGGCGGAGAAATTGGCCAGTGCTTGCTCCAATGCGACTCGGCCGGGCAGGGTCCAGTGGGGAGATCCACTGTGCCGTGCTGTTTGCAGCGACTGGAGCGGGCGTAGTGTGATTGCCTTTTCTGGCGGCCCGACTCGGCACTGGGGTTTTGGAGGGAGCAGCACGCTTGAGACTCTGCTCGCCCTCTGCACCTAATTGGGCCTGCCAAGATGGATGTCTGGTGTACTGTAGGGTCGGAGGTGTCTTGCATTCCATTGGCACTGTGTCCTCTCGGGGCGATCACTTTGGCCTGTTCGTTCGCCTGTTGGGGTGTCTGTCGCAGGTGTATTGGCTCTGCATGACGGTGCTGTTTCTGGTTGCTCTTCCATCGTGGCAGCTACCCGTGGTGTGCGTCTAGTCGACTGCATACCTCCTTGCGTGGATCGTCCCGGAATCCAAACAACGGCGTGTGTTTTCCATTCTTCACTTCACCCATCGAGGCCTGGGGCTGTGCGTGGAGAAACGCCCCATACCATCGTTACTCAGGTAATGAATGCTCTGCTGTTGGGAAGGCCTAGCAGCTTGACTTGCTATTCTGGCCGACACTGACGGTCCGAGAACCTGATGCGGACGACCCATAACCGGAGCGGTGATTGATGGGGGACACGCGCGCTTTAGTTTAATATTGTGCCCTACCGTTCTATATGGTGGAGCGTCCCCTTCCCTGGCTGGGCCCCCAAGCCCCCTCTGTCTGTAACTGGAGCCGCCCACTAGGCTAAGAAGGCTCATTTTTGGTTCCTCTCCACTATTACGCCGGCCAAACCGCCGCCCTTAAGTCTCGACGAACCAGCGCCGCCCGCGCTGCCCGCCCACTCGCTCGCTCTCTCCATGCACTGGTCTTATCACACAAGCTTTCTAGCCTAACTGACTCAACTAAAGGCAGTCAGCCGAGAGACAGAGGGACGTTCTCGCACTTGCCTCCAGCCGTCCATCTCACACCACACCACACCACCCACTATCGCCCTGGATGCGTTCCACTCTTTGATCCCGTCTCTTCTTGTGCTGCTTTTCCTTTTTCATTCTCTTCATTTTCGGTTTCCTTCCCGTGCATTGCAACTTTCCTCGATCGACCGCATCCTGCATCCTTCCCCTCACCCTCTGGCTCCGTTTCGCCGTCCGACCACCCCGACCGACGACGCACACTTGACGCCGTCCGTTTTCGATTTCGTCGGCCCACGAATCCTCCTCACCCTGCGAGTTGGCCAATTCACCCGTCTACCCAGAGCATCGATCCGGCACGACTGCCCGTTGCGACAGTTCCGCGATAGGGAATCGACCCAGCCACACCATCTGGATCACACGACGGTATTGAATTTGTGCGATCCTGCCATCTCTCAATCGTACCCCATCCCGGCGAAACCAGTCTCGACCTCATCTCCTGCCGTACGTGTTGCTGCGTATTGTGGTAACTTGATCACGATCCGACACCACGCGCCATGTCTAGATAAGCCGCCTTTCGTCCCCCTCTAGCGCACGACGATTGAGACGGCCTCTACCCACGGGCTGGCTCCCTGAGGCGAAGCGCACTTCGTACATTGGCTCGCCGTCAAGTCTTCTTTGTTTCACCCTCATTCTTCATCCTCTACCATGTCGGAGGCACGGCAATACGCAATAGATGCCGCTCGTGCGACGACCGAGTTCGGATCTAAGCGGTTCCATGATAAAATCGATCAACAAAAACACGAGACACATCAAAATGAATCCCATCACGATGCGGGTCCTTCGGGCTCCGGCTCTAGGTTCATCCTCCCTCTACGGGAAGCCAAAGTTGCCGACGTCGAAGTCAAACCAAACGATCACAAGAAGAGCAGAGGCTTCTTCAAACTCAGACACAAGGTCTCACGACTTCACACTAAGCCGGTACAACCAACTGTGGAACACATCGAACCTGTGCGATCCTCGGTGGAATCTACAAGGAAAAGGTACAGCACAGTGCAGTCATCGAATCTCCCTGTCGTGGCTGGTCTAACGTTAAATAGCACTCCTCTCGATCAATTAGTCGCAACCCTCCCCGCCGAGCTGCAGATACAGATCATTTCAGAATTATCCTTGGCCGATGTGCTGAATCTGCGGTCAACATCGAAACTATGGCACGCCCTCATCACAGCGAACGAGACACCGATAGTACGACATCATCTTAAATATAATATTCCCGCCTATGCCCAGCGGTTATTCCCCGCCACGAAACCCGAAGACTTCAATTTCCACTATCTTTGCGGCCTTTGGCATCGGTTACACGTCGCAGCGAAGCTGGCTTATTTATTGTGTGAATGGGTAACCAAGGACATTTTTTTGCGGCAAACGGACGCTGATCGCCTGGCCTTTGCTCCACAACGCGAACGTATGCGTCGTCGACTGATACCTCTCTTGTTCACGGTCTTCCACTTCTTCGAGACGTATCGGAAATTGCACCTTGAGTATCTAGAGAAATACGGACATCAGGGCTTAAAACGGGAGCCTTACACATTGAATCCTATTGAGAAGCAAATCATGGACATGTACGACGACCAAACATTACTACGAGTTCACGAAGTCTTTCCTCTGGTTATCGCCTCCTTCTGTCGCCGCTTGCGTCCCCCAACATATGTGGGACGAGTTGAGCGATCGCTGAGAGGTTACCTTCGTGAGAAGCCTTCGGACGACATTCATGTTGCTATTTTATGCCTGGGAGGATTACGACAGGTTGAACATCTCTGGGAGATCAAAGGTTATAATACTCGGAGGGCAGCGGTTGACACTTGGTTCCATAGTCTGACCAAGGACGCATCGCCCGAGCACACCACAACCAAGACAAAGAGGAGTTTGATGAGCTTTGGCCGGAAAAAGTCGACCAGTGGAGCTGACCGGGAACAACATCACCACTCCCCCAACCGTGACCAACGGTCATCATTTAGCAGCCTCCATCGCACCAAGAGCTCGACTGGATCCATAGGCGGGAATGATCCTGGGGTCGACCCTAATTGGATCTTTAACACGAGCTTGTCCCATGGTATCCCTATGGGGGCTTTGGAGTATGACCAGGCGCAAGTGCTTCTCAATGACTTACCAGTCTTGCAACAAATTTGGACAGTGACTGCTGAGTCTTTGATCCTCAAACGTGGTATCGTTAGTCGACCCCAGGATATCCGGAGAAACCAACAACTCATGCTTGATCTAATTAAGGAGGATGGGCTTGATGAGGAAGACGAATGGTGCTATGGTCGTCATGTGTCTCCCTCTATGCGACCGCATCACGGCGCCCCGGACGATGAGGCCGACTAATGAGGAGAGTCTATCACTTTGTTCCCCTTTTCTTTTGTCATGGTCTTCTTTTTTTGGGTACACTTCCTTCCATAGACTTGGACGAGGCCCTGAATTCCCTTCCTTCTCAAACATTTCCTTGGCATTTGCGCATTATTTAAGGATGCATATCTTGTACGAGTTGGGTAAAGAGAGGCGAGCATATATATGGCGTTTTCCTTTTTTTTTCCACCACATTCTTGGTTTATTTTCCTTATCATTTTACACCCAGGGAATGGGAAGGGAGTCTTCTTCAAAGGACGGAAAGAGAGTCCTATTGCATTTCTTTGGTCCCGTTATATTCTCTTCCCGTCTACATATTTTTTATGGCCCTCGAAGAGCGAGAGAGATTTTTTGTAATGAAAAGAAAGGCTATAAAGCATGGCGATAACTTATCTGCATACATACCTTGTTCTGCTTTTTAGTGATCATATGCCATTCTCTCAAATCGCGAAAACACCTCTGTACTGGATCTACTTGGGAACACACGAGTGAAGAATAGAGAACAATTATGAAATGGGCGTTGAAATTCATCTTATCATTCCCTTGCTAACTCCGATCATGTTTTGCCATGATGCAATTATAAGGACCTGATCAGCAGGCTTGATTGTCGAGATGCGAAAAACTAGACTGCTTGCTACCGTCCTAAATGCCATCCGTCACGCTGTAAAACTCCTTGTTGTGCCGCGTGAAGACATATTCCCAGTCCTGAATTCGTTGCTTTTAGACGTCTGAGGACCCAACACCGTTGCTTCAAGGAAATATGAGAAAAAAAGAAAAAAGGAAATGAGGTCGTGGTCGCGTGAACTTTAATTCCTACTTCTTATGAAGGAAGGGTACCAGAATCCGAATCATCCCAGAAAAGACCCGAAATCCCGTTGGTCATACGTTCGTTGTAAAAGGAGAACCATTTTCGCCGCCGATACTACAATGAGGACATGAAACTGAAAGAAAAGGAGATGAGAGGCGGGCTGTGTTAACGTCGACCGCCGAATGCTTGGTATAGGCGCTCACGCATATCTGACTCTGAGAGAGCAGCCTCTAGCTGGGTCGAGGTTGGTTGGGAAGCGAACGCATCATGGCCTTGCTCGACGGCCCTGTTAGCGCTCATGGCATACTCCATGGCCATGAATGCGGAATCGCTGGAGTAAGCAGCTGGATAGCCCGCGGTCATCTGGGCTGCAGGGACCGAAGGATTCGGCCGGCGGATCTCGGTGGGTGAGCTCCCCGGGGATGCGTTGCTCGCTTGGGAGGATTCCATGATATTCGAGGCAGCTTTAAGCTGTGCGAATTGGTGTTGGTTCTGGAGTTGCTGATAGTGCTGTGCCCGTTGTTGATTATGCTGTTGCTGCTGGTTGTAAAAGGCTTGTCTGTTCTGAGTGGATCTCTCGCGAACGCCCTGTTGTGGTTGTTGGGAACCAAAGGGTTGCGCCGGCCCTTTGGCTATTCTGCTAAAGCCCACGTTTGCTGGCCCTTGCTCTTGCATCTGCTGTTGTTGCTGTGAAGCTTGAGATTGTTGATATTGTGGCTGCGCTGACTGTACAGACATGGAACTAACGGTGGGACTGAGGTCATAGTTTACCGGGTTGTGTGAAGTGCTACCAGAAGAAGCTGCATCTTGGGAGGCTGGGGTAGTTAGAGTCGTTGGTGCTCGCCCGTTGATGCTATCCGTTGGACTGACTATTGCAGACTCGCTAGGATCTTGGGATAAACGCGGCCGTTTGTTCTGTACTGCTTGTAATCCTGGCATTTCCTGCGGTTGTTGAGATCTAGTTGATTGCCCTTGGCTATTCGTCTGAACTGGCAAATACTGATTCTCCCCACCCTGAACTGCGGCTTTCCGCTTGTTAGCCTGATCATCCGCTTTCTGGGGACTTGGCTCGGAAGGCTGTGAACGGTCTTGAATGGGGGGGTCTGTCCAATTTTCCGCATGTTGAGACAGCCCATTAGCCGGTTTTGGCACAAGACCTGCATGTTCCACCTGGGAGGAGTTTGGTGGTCTTGGGTGTGGCGAAACATCGGCGGGCATCCATCCGACAGCCACAACCCGATCCATATTGCCCGGGCGTGGTTCTGTGACTGGAGAGTCATGAACTGTTTCCGGGTTGGGTTTGGCTTTGGGCTTGTTCTTTGACCCTTTGGGACGGCCGCGCTTCTTTCCGCTAGGCGTGCCTGATCCCGGGGTTTCGGTAATAGATGTGTCCCCTAGCACCTGCGTTGGCGTCGCTGTAAACTGCGAGCTCATAAAATGATGGCTAGGGTCACCGGGGACTTGGGTTGACGTTGGATTCTGGCTCGAGTCACCCTGACTTTCCATACTCCCACTGAAATTGGAAGCAGATATGTGGGCATTGGCGAAAGCAGCGTCGGACACACGGCTCCCCTTCTTTATTCCCTTGTCCTTCCGCACCTTGGAGCTCTTGCTTCCTTTTGGCCGTCCTCGGGGTCTTCTAGGGGTTAACGGGTTTCGTTGACGGACTCGGTCCTTCCATGCAGCAGGAGGCTGTGGTTCAGAGTGGTCATCCCCATGAGCTCCAGCATCTGTAGTGTGATCTTCGCCACTGGGGGCATTAGTGACTGGACTGGGCTGGTAGGAATCTGCGGGAGGTTCAGACACCGGCGGTGCAAATGGAGGTTTGGTGAAGTCAGCAGGTGGGAAGATCTCTGACAGCCAGCCGATGAAGAGCGCCCCTGAACCATTCCTCTTGTCGCTTTCAGGGTACGCATTGTTTGGTGGAGGAGGAGCTCCAGGGATGCCACCGAAATAAGCCATCGCCTTGCAAAGCTGATCCACAACGATGACTGGGTGTATGCTACGTAGGAGCGTTAAGATTCGAGCTTGCTCAGCTTTCACAGCTACTGGAGAGAGCGACTGGGGTAGTGGGTGTGGTGATGCAGGTTCGTGGGATTTGGGACGCTGCTGGTGATCGTGGAAGGGCGTGTTCCAGACGAGCCTACTACGCTTCACAGGCTGGTAGCCATTCTTGTTTGCTTGCATAGCGGCGGCCTGTGTCAGTTCGCTGGTGCGCTTTGCAGCCATCGATCTGGCGTCCATGACCGGATTGCCCACATCCATGTGCATGACAGCAAAATTCCCGTCCTTCTCAGTTGCGCTGTCAAGCAGCTTGCTCGGGATAGGATTGCGTATGCGCCCATCACTGCTCACATCGCCACTACTATTGAGTGTGTTGTCTGAGTATAGATGGTTAGTAGAGCTCAAGACAACATGTAGGAATATTCTCGAGCGCCCTCACATCCAGTTCTGTAGGAATTGGGATTCACTGCGGTTCTGCCAGGAGCTCTAGTGGCAAGAGACGTATTTTGTAGGGCGCCAGAGGCCACGCCATTGCTTGTCGCATTCGCATCCTGCAGCTGCGATGAGATGGGGGGCGGATGGTCCAAGTTCGAGGCTGGGGCAGAGCCAGAGGCAGAAGCAGGTCTAGATGGAGTTGCGCCTCGGGAAGGGGAATCCTCTGTGAAAAGTTCATCGTCTGGCGATATGCTAGCCGAACTGGTGGCTTCTGCACAAAGCGCGATGCCGTCAGTATGTGATGTTTTGAGCACGCGACTGCGACTAGACTAAAAAACGGCACGGAATTGCATAGTGAGGATCTACAGACCGGGAGATGGACTGCTCGACATGGCTGCCGCCGTCCTTTTATCCTTCCCCGGGATGCGACTGACAGTTCTCGGCGAGAGCGAGGTCCCGGGGCAATTCTAGGTCGCCAGCAGAAGGATGGTGGAGGAGGTGCAAAATCAGAATCGTGGATCCAGGACCATTACGAGAAAGCGTGTTGGCTCAGCTGAGTTCCCAAGCGCCTACAGTACCGGTCATGCCTCTTGACGCAGAAGCAATGTGCATTAATCCATGACGGACGTCGTGTCGACTCCCTCAGGATCACACATCAAGGGAAGGGTATGGTATGGTCTCAGTCATATCATGATCATGTGCTAGTCTTGGCTGCTGCTTGTGCAAGGTGCTTTGCTGTATTATGCAGCTACGTAACATTCAGCGCTGCAGCATGGCCATGTGCCCCGCTATGTGCATAACGTACCTACTCAACGGCCTGAGGAGGGGCAGTTCTCAGCCACACGCCCCACCCTTACCTCACTGAGCTGCTGGTGGCTGGGGCCTTGCTTAATCGGCGCTCGCTGAGGTCACTCCCGCCTCTTCGAGCTCCGTCTTGACCTTAACTAGGCCAGAACCACCATCTACCATCCTATCAGCTACCTCACGCTGTCTTATTCCGACACAACCTGGTCAGTGAGATACACGAGAGCTAGAGGCTGACCACGCTGCTCCCCCTTCCGAGCAATCTGCTCTCCTCTCCCTCTCCTTCTCCTTCTCCCTGGTACCAATACATCCGGCCAGCGAGCTAGTTCCCTCCCGCCGCCTCCATCTCGACCACCCAACGGAGCGGACGACTCTCATCACAGGATGCCGTCCAAATACGCCGTAGTGTCCCTCCCTTTGGGCGCTTTCGACTCCCACGACAAGGACGATGCAATCTCTGCCCTGAGCGCCACCATTAGTGCAGACAACGGCACTGTTGTCCCCTTCAACATCCCAGAGTTCAAGATTGGCACCCTCGATGCACTTGTCCAGCAGGCCGACGAGCTGGCTAAGCTTGAGGCGGCCGCAGAAGGTGTTGTAGCAAAGGTTTCCGAGTCGCTGCGCTCAGTGCTCAATGGTGATGAGGATCGGTTGTCTCAGTACAAGATGGTCAATGATAGTCAGTGCTAGTTGTTTTAAGCTCCCATTGAGCTATGTGGCTAATACAGATTGCAGAGCCGACCGACCAGTACGTCGGCAGCTTCTCGTGGAACAAGATTCGATACCGCGCCGACAAGTCGCTTGGCGAGCTCATCGACACTCTTCGCAAGGTTGGCGGTTCTGCTCTGATGCTTGATGTCGCAGCACATCTAATCTCGTCTACTAGGAACTCGCCAATGCCGACAACGACGTCAGAACCAAGTTTAACCAGTACAACGCTGTGAAGACGAACCTGGCTGCTCTCCACAGGAAACAAACGTTAGTTGGGATTACCAACCCAGGCACACCAACTGGATCGCTAACTTGCGTGCCCTAACAGCGGAAACCTGGCAACCAAATCGCTATCACCCATTGTTGATCCTTCTCTCCTCGTCCATGACTCGGAATACATCGAGACCCATCTGATCGTGGTTCCCACGAACTCGAAGAAAGACTTCATCAAGTCGTACGAAACCCTTGCGCCAATGGTTGTTCCACGATCCGCGATTGAGGTAGCCCACGATGAGGAATTCGTGCTATTCGCAGTCGCCACCTTCAAGAAGCACAGTGCCGAATTCCAAGCAAAGTGCAGAGAGCACAAGTATACCCCCCGCCAGTACAAGTATGTCGAGGGAGGTCGGGAAGAGGAGCAGCGGGAGTTGGATAAGGTCACAAATGAAGAGCGAAAGGTCTGCGGCGAAGCCCTACGAATCGGCCGTACTGGGTGGAGCGAAAGTGTCATGATCTGGATTCATGTCCTGACGCTAAAGGTCTTTGTGGAGGCTGTCCTGCGATATGGTCTGCCCCTGGACTATGTGACGGCGCTCGTCAAGGTACGCAAGGACGCTCTCAGCTTTTTTTTACGAGACTGGCATCGAGTACTGACACCAATGGTTTTAGACAACTCCTAAACTGGCTCCCAAGGTCAAGACGGCCCTGGATTCACAATTTTCATACTTGGGTGGCAACGCCTTTGGAAGGGACAAGCGTGGTAGGATCACCAAAGATGATGCCGCCATGAGCTCGGAAATGGCGGCAGCTGGGTTTGCAACAGGCGAAGGCAAGGAGTACACAGCATATGTTTATGACGAGATCGAGTTTCCCTAGACAATCTGACCGGAAATGTAATGAGGTACGTCATTTGTTCAGCCGACGAAGAATGAGCCCTGGGGGTGTTGTTTGAAGGCGACAAGAAGAAAGGTCCAAGCCATTGAAAATTCAAGTTATTCCTCGACTCTTTTCTCTCTCTCTCTCTCTCTCTCATCTTTGCGTTTATTCCGTTTATATCTTTTGAACGCCTGTATTCTACCTCTATAAATCAAGCGGACATAACAGTATAGCAGGTACGTGTTTTTTTTTTCAGGGGGAGCAAAGACGGGGATGATTATTTATCTACTCTACTGAACTTCCCCCCCATGCGGTCCGCACGCGAAAACCAGACTGGCCTGCAGTCGTCTATGCTGTTTTGACGTAGCCCTTCTCAGACAGCCACTGGACAATCTGGGCAACACACTCCTCGACGGTGTTCTCGTGGGTCTTGATGGTGATCTCGGCGGCGGTGGGCTCCTCGTAGGGGGCGGAGATGCCGGTGAACTCCTTGATCTCGCCGGCGCGGGCCTTCTTGTACAGGCCCTTGGGGTCGCGCTGCTCGGCGACCTCGAGGGGCACGTCGACGAAGACCTCGACGAAGGGGATGGGCTCGTCGCCCTGGGCGGTCTGGCTGTGCAGCTCGCGGGCGAGGTCGCGGTCGGCGCGGTAGGGGGAGATGAAGGAGGTGATGGCGATGGTGGCGGAGTCGGCGAAGAGTTTGGCGACCTGTCCGTTTTGCGAACCAAGTCAGCATTTTACTCCCTCCCTTTCCCCCAATTGTCTTTGGCAAATGGGCTGTTCTTACCTCTGAGATACGGCGGATGTTCTCGTTGCGGTCCTTCTCGGAGAAACCCAGGTCCTTGTTCAGGCCGAAGCGGACGTTGTCGCCGTCCAGACGGTAGGCGGCCAAGCCGAGGTGGAGGAGGTGCTGCTCGAGGGCGGTGGCGACGGTGGACTTGCCCGAGGCTGACAGGCCGGTCAGCCAGATGGTCAGGCCGCGCTGCTTGCGGAGCTCATTGCGCTCGCGGCGGGAGAGCGAAGGGTGCCAGGTGATGTTGCTGTCCAGCCAAAACTGTTAGTGAGTCTGCGGCGCTTGGTAATGTGAGGGACCGCTTTGGCGGGGCAATTGGCGCTGGGTGAATCAGAATGGAGGGGTAGAGGGGCAGACCTACGTAGCCATGGTTGTGTGTGCGGGCGTGTGAGAATGGGAGGGAGGAAGAGAGAAAGAATGAAATCTAAAAAAGAAAAATGATGTTGAGATATGCACAATTCGGGAGGACCTGTTTTAGCGCTTCGCCATCTGCCACTGGAAGCGTCTTAGCTGGCGGTGATCAGAATGGGTGAGGCCGAGTAAATAGGTACACACGTCGGCCGGGACTGGGCGTGCGATAACCGGAGCACGAATAGGGAGAAACGCAGCATGTCGGGAGCCCCTCCACCCTGCGACATCTTTCTCCACGATTAAGCTAATTAAGGCGTCATGCCGTGGATGGGTGCTCAAACACTTGCGTAGGTATGTACGAGTCGCGACTCCATCTGTCGTCGTCAAATTGCGTGATCCCAGAAGCACGGGACTCGGGCTGCTTCAGGGCCACCCACCGCAGCACCGCACACGTAGCATTGGCAGTAGTATTTGCATCTGGGTCTGGGTGGGTGGATTGTCATTGCGTCTAGTTTCTCATTTCTAGCTAACTCTATTTGAATCTCAAGTCCTTCTAGTAAGATATATCTCTCTATACACAAGGCAGTGCGCTTCCGGCTCAAATGCAGGCGGAATAAATATCCCCCCATGACCATGAGTGAACAATGTACTTCTCAACAGGCAGAATGTAAATCATATATGCAAATATCACGTATCAACTCGGCCTACGCCATCTTGGGAAGCATCTAGTTTTTGAATAATCGTTAGCCATCACTTCACTCGCATCCAATCGCATTACAACATCATGGATCTCGACTCACGGCAGCGTATTTGGGCGACACGAACAACGCCGTGGCCTCTGCCAGAACGACGGGCTCCTGGCCGGGCTCGACCAGCGTCTCAATGCGACCCTTTACCCAGGCCTTGCGGCCCTCGACCTTGGTCGTCTCAGCCTTCATCACAAAGAACGCACCCGCCGGCGTGGGCTTGCGGTAGTTGACGTTCAGGTTGGCCGTCACGGCCACCTGGTTCGGCAGCGCCTTGAGGCACGTCCTGGCCAAGCCCTCGTCCAGGATCGTCGCCACCAGCCCGCCGTGCACGATCCCGGGGTGCCCGCAGACGTCCTCGCCCAGGTACGCCACGGCCACCATCTCCTTGCCCTCGGCGTCGTTCCACGTCAGGGGCGGCACGACGATCATGCGCGGGCCCAGCAGCGCGCCGCCCGTCAGGCTGCGCCGCCTGTACTCGGCCGGCATCTTCATGTGAGGTCGCGACTCGGTCAGGTCCGTCCGCTTGCGAATCTCGGCGACGAATGGGTGCGACTGGATCACCTCCTCGGCTTTGCGTGCCTCGTCGTCGCCTGG